TATGATAGTGTGTGGGGATGAAGCATTTAGGAACTAGAGGAAAGTTGTATGTTTCATCGTTGCTGCACTGCACTCTGACTGGCTCATATCTTCCCCGCAACCCTTCCGTAAAAGGGGATGTCCAATTGCCTACAGATAGGCTTTGGATCTCCACTCTGCACTACCCCTCATTGACAATGATATGATATTTTGTTCTGATGATGCCTGATACTTGATCCCTTCGACACCTCGTGATCGCACAGGCTGGTGTGCTTCTTCCATGTGGGCTTTTTTGCCTCTGAGCTAGATGGCCACTTGTTTACCTTCAAGCCTTTAAGACCCCAGATTCTATATCTTTTGATAGCCGGGCACCATCAGCTTTCTTCACCACATTTGCTTATGCACTCACTTTGTCTTCAGCAATTTTGTCAGGAAGGTGAGCATCACTGAATGCCAGTTTAATAGAACAAAGTATTTTTGCATTGAGGGAGTACTTGAGTGGAGGCCCAATGTCCATTTGCTACCTTAATACTAAACCTATACATATATGTACATAGATTTATTTCCAAATCCTCATATGTACCTATGTGTCTACATAGATACATGCCTTTATTTAGACCTCTATATATATGCCCTTTGCCTCCTAGCTCTTTCCTCTATTTCCTTTGACTTTCCTCTTGTCCCACTATCATGTTCAGCTTTATTTGGGTTTCAAGAATTCCTCTTATTCTATAGATTTTTGAGATTAGTCCTGCTGTGTCATTGCTAAAGATTTTCCCCCATTCTGTGAAGAATCTACATTCCAGCTGGAACTTTGAACATCTGCATCTATAAACACACTACAGTCTATGGTAAGCCATCAAACTGCAGCAATTTACGCCAGCTCACATGATCAGTTTTCTCTATTCACTTTGTGTTAGTCTAGGTTGACTAGAAACAAACCCAGAGACACTCCTATACATGTAAGAGAGCACTTTATTTATTTTTTTAATCAATTTATTGGGGCTCATACAATTCATCACAATACATAGATCAATTGTGTAAAGCACATCTATATATTTGTTGCCCTCATTATTCCCAAAATTCGCTTTCCTCTTGGGTTGTAAGAGAGCACTTTAGATCAAGAAGTAACTGTGCATCATTAAAACATCCCAGCTGAGTCCAGATCAAGTGTGTAATTTCGATTATTAACCCATAAGTCTTATATTAGCCCATAAATTCCTCTTCAGAATCACACAGCACATGCAATGATGCTGAATGCAGGAAGATCACCAGTGGTTCAGTGGAAAGTCCTGTGGGTCCAATGGCAGTGGGTGCATCTCCAGGGCTCTGGGTGCCATCAGCGTGGCTCCATGTGGCTTGTCAACAGAAATGTGAAGCAGAGTGTGTGTGTCCCGTCTCCAGGGAGAAAGAGAGGAAGTCCCATAATCCTCATAAGAAGGCCAACCCCATAAGGAGGGATCAGCAGGTTGTGACCTGATTGACAGGCTAGACTCCACCCTTTCATTCTTATCAAGTTGACATGAAATTGTGTAA